ATTTAAAACACCCGTAGCCCCGCAGTTTAACAACGAGCACTTCACACAGATAAATCAGTTCGTCGAAAATAACCCCGACCTATTCCTGCCACACTTCCCGTGCACAACAAGACACGACGCAGGCATACTCCGCGAAGATCATGACATCATCACGAAACCTATCTCACAGACTGAAACCAAGATAACAATCAAAACGCTAAGAAACACTGCACCAGGAGAAGACGGGATTCGAAACTTAATTTTAAGAAACGCCTCTGATCGATTAATAAGTCATCTTACTGCTCTGTTCAACCTGTCCCTCAGTTCGGGTTATCACCCCTCACAATGGAAATCGGCAATAATAAAGATTATCCCCAAAACCAGCCCTGCAACAAATGATCCCAAGGACTATAGACCAATTAGCCTGATTAATAATATAGGCAAATTACTGGAAAAAATCATAACAACAAGCCTATTATGGTACCTCGAGAAAAACCAGCTATTATCAGAAATACAAAACGCATCCCGCAAAAACAGACAGACAGCCGATCATCTAGTCAGGTTAACCGAATCCATCACTCAAGGCTTTAACAAAAATCACACAACAGTAGGGGTTTTCCTAGATGTCAAACAAGCCTTCGACTCAGTATGGCACCAAGGCCTAAAATATAAGCTTCCCCCAGTAATAACACGATGGATTTCTAGCTTCCTTTCTAATAGAAAAGCCAGCGTGAAAATCAACAACTCAGTATCCAACCCGTTCATGCTCGCAGCAGGTGTCCCCCAGGGCTCTGTGCTAAGCCCGTTACTATACATCCTGTTCGTAAATGACATACCATTCCCCAACTTGACCTACACAAACGTTTCACAGTACGCTGATGACATTGCCGTCTGGAGCACATCACGAGAACCACTATTAGCAGCATCCAAGGTTCAAACCTCACTCAACAGCATAACACAATGGTGCAACACATGGAGAGTCGTGCTGAACGCCTCCAAAACCCAGGCTATACTGTTCAAAAGAAAGATCTCCCGCAAAAGCAAATCCCTCCCGAAAGTAAAAATAAAACTAAACGACACGGAACTACAATTCTCAAGGACCGCAAAATTTCTAGGAATCACGTACAACAGCAAATTAACCTGGTCAGACCACTTCAAAAACATATTAATCAAAGTTTATAAACGCATCCATTACTTAAAGAAGATAGGAGGCAGAATTAAAGGGTGCCGGGCGATTACAATAATGAAAATCTATAAAGCATACATCCGCCCATTAATAGAGTATGGTAACATGGTGACAGTAAATGCGCCACAAACACAGTACGACATTGTTACATCTCCGTTTGTTAATTGATTTTTCCGTAACTTCGTTCCGACGAAATTTTAACGACACAAGTCTTTACTTAATAAAACTGGTTTATTCTTTCCGAATATAACTCTGCGATACACTTAATCTCAATACTCGCGCTAAAACAAACAGTATCACTAGCGAACGAACGTTAACTTCAACGATACCCTGTGACTGCAGTTCAATTACTCACTATTCACACACACATTACATTCTCCTCTTTTATATACCAGCCTACCCTATCTAGCAATTACTAGACCATTCGCCAAGATACGATAGTTCTAGAAACAAGAGCGTCATCGAGATCACGTGACAATTCTCACGCTTGTTGTTTATTTGTTCATTCAAAATTGCATTTAACACATTCACTGCCATGTGCCCCACTGGTGGGTCAAAACCGACTTTAAGTTATGGACTGCATGACACACCGGTGGGTCACAGACAATTATGTTTCCAAGTCAAATTTCTCTTGCAACATATGAGTTTGGGCCACTATGACTGCTCCTTGGTATCTCTTGTATGTTTAATTTTTGTATACTTGATTTATTATGTAGCAGTGAACATGTTAAGAATGTTCAAAAACAATACATGATAGCAAGACCCGTTTAAAAAAGCAATGACTAAAATAAAATTATATACTGAAAATACATTCAGGCAAAACGTTTGTCATGGTATTAATTTTTGTTATAAAATATCTGCTTGACCTATTGCACCTTCTGTGTATGTTCTCAGTCTCACACTGTAAGAACTAACATTATCACAGGATTCCATCGTCCTAGATTTCATTGTTCCATTGTAGAAATATCTTAGATCATTTGGAAAAAGGTCTAAATGGGAGTATAAGAAGTGCATCTTTGGTGACATCCTAGATCCCATTGTCCTATAGTTCTCAACAACTCACAGCACAGTTTTCATCTCTGTGATTACCTAAGACATTTTATGACAATTAGTTTGAATGATTTCTAGGCAGCAAGTTCTTTCTGAATGAGTACTGTTTCAAAATCATCATCCATCAGCACTTCCCAAATCTGTGGCCCAACAAAGATACCCCCTTTCATTTTTGCTTCACTGATTTTTGGAAACTTGTCAACAGATATCTGAAACCATTACCATTTTTGTTCATTCCTTTTACAAAAGCCTTCACGAGTCCCAGTTTAATATGAAGTGGGGTCAGAAACACATTTTGAGGATTCACTAAAGGTTGATATTCTGTTTCCCTTGTATGTAATTCCCTCTCACTGACCATTCATTCTTTTTAATATGATTTTTATCGTCTTGGCTGTCCCAGAGACACATAAAGCAACAATGCTTGGCATACCCACGCTGCAGGCCTAGCAGGAGTGTAATAACTATAGTGATCATATTTGATGGCCTCAAATATATTTTGCTACATGTTTTGATAAGTCTCTTCCATGTTCATAGTACGAGTAACAGGAATTGATGGCTTTGTGGTTCTATTGTGTAAAAGTACAGCTTTCAGACTAACTTTAGATGAGTTGATAAAAAGTCTCCTTTCTTGAGGATGATGTTCAGTACCTAATTCTTCCATTAGTGTACCAACATTTATACAGAAATACAAAGTATCTTGCATGTTATAGTGAGAAGCAAGACTTTGATGGTAACTTCCTGCAACTTGAAACTTTTGTTCCTGGAGCTAATAAATTCCATTACTGTAAACAAGAGCCAAGAAGTTTCCCATGCTGCTTTGATAGAGACGAGCCATGAATCAGATCATTTAGCTGTTCTTGTGTGATCAGGTGAGGCATTTTATGCTGAGGTGCCACAGGAATAGAATTATTAAATGAAGAGGAGATGATTTGATGATTCATTGTTTTCTTTGCAAAATAACTCTTCTTTTTCCCAATTTGCTGGTGGATGTGGCACTGGAAGACCATCCCCAAGAGGTACTGGTTGCATTGTAGATGTAATATCTGGATATTTAATGTATTGTTTAGTTTTGCCTGAATATCCAAAAATATTAGTTGTGCAAAAATAAATCAGTTAGATGATCTTTGGGCTCACACTATATCATGGGAACTGCAAATGGTATACTTGCTCTCTTCTTATTCAGCCACTGTGTCAAGCCAGATGTGGAGCCCTCTGTTTTTCTTAGTCACCAATTTTACACCCAAAATAGTAATAGTAACCTACTTTTACCTTGTGTGTAATGTTTTTCATTTGTGAAACTGTAATATATTTTCCACAAACCTAGCAGAAACTGTTTGGGTAAGTTTTGCACTTTCAGACTTTAGTTGAACTGGAGGCAGCCAGCATTTCAAATGATTTTATAAAAAAAATATAAAAGAATTCATGTTATACAGAACTAGAGTTTAAAAGATTTAAAAAAACAAAGTTTTGCATAATATGACTATATTGTGTGTATGATGCGAGGAAGAAGATCAGAATTTTTTTTTCACTATGCACAGAGCGAGGCAAAGTGACCAACTGAGTGAGAGAGAGGCAACTGAGAGAGAAGAGTTTTACTCTGCCCCTTTTATGCTCAGTTCAGAGACTCCTTGAATATTCTACCAAACTGAGCACGTAAGAGTTTCATGATTCCCGGGCAGAGCAGGTGAGCGAGGGAATGAAGCAAAAGTGGTGCAATTCACTAAAATTATATCAAGAACAAATAGCTAAAATGAACAATAAATTTCAAATCTCCCACCAATACAATACAATACAGTCATTATTTGAAATTATTAAAAATGTATGTCTTTTACCCATTAAACTGTTCAAATAAACTTAATTTCACAGCATAAATGTATTGCACTGAGTTGATTGCATGGTATTTCATATAGTGCTGATAAAATATTGAGATATCACAATAACTCAAAATCTAGAGGTGATGGACAAATTCTGACTAATTTTTTTTAAATCAGCACCATCAAATTACCCCAAATCACTTGAGTTTTGTATAGTAGCAAATTTTTTATTGTCCAGTGAAATTATTTCAAAAACTAACAAAATTATACGTAATATGCAAATAAAATTATTGCCATTAATTCAAATGTATAGAATTTGTTTATTTCAGTAATTCTGAAGTAGCTAACTTTAGTTACCACACAAATATGAATATTAACACCTACTGTGAATCAGACAGTCTAAATCCACTCTCAACACTGAAGATAGCTCTCACAGTCTGTACTGATGCCCTGCAGAAAGACAATTTAAGAGACAGGCTTTCTTAACATGCACATTTTAATGAAATTTATACTACAAAAAACAAATAAACACTCAGTTTTAATCAACTTTCAGTTCCAAATCTCACACTCAGTTAAGTTTAACAGAAAATATTAAATTCAATGAAACAATGAAACAAACTTTGTGATGTTATAAAACTTAATATAAATATTAAACTCTAAATGGTAGTTACTTATAATCAATACTGTTTATGTTATTTATGGTAAGATAAAGCTGACTCTTCTTGACCTCAAATTTAGATCACACAATAACAAATAAAAGCAGTTAAGACATGTGGAATTTTACATGTGTAGCTGTACTTGAACAATTACTCAGTTTTAGAACATGAATAAATACTGTTACTTTCTGTTTCAACTAAAAAAGTCGACATTTATAAAAATAAAATGAGCCTGTTCTTTTCCAAGCATTATGTTCAGACTTTCCCACACTAATAAACAGTATAACCTTCAATGTAATGAATTACTACAATATGAAGAATTAAATACACAGATAAAATAGCTATTTTCTTGACTTGTTGGAAAGGGTTCATAGAAGGGCTACTAAGATGATTCCAAAGATAGGAGGGTTATCTTACAGGGATAGCTTAAGAACTTGAGCTAAAAAGATTAAGAGGTGATATTATTGAAGTGTATTAGATTATCCAAGGGATCAATATGATAGAGACCTCTGATTTCTTTGTACTATTTTCTGAAGATCACAAATCGTTCTAGACTTCACAAGATATCATAACTAACACAAACATTTAAAACACTAGAGATTCTGAGGTGTTCTAGAGTGGATGAAACATTAAAACAGACCAGAAACTGAGATTAACACTCTCAGGAATTACCTCAAGCTGTAGATATTTTCATTTGTTGTCTGTGCTAACTCTAGTAAGAATGTATTTCTTCACTGGTGAATAATTTAAAACCCATGTTGAATCCTCTATATAATCCCTTAACCCATCTAACACTGTGAGGTGTTAAATGGTGGATGAAATACAACACTCAGACCTGGAATTAAACCCTAATCTTTGTCTGAGAGAAAAATAAGTGACTTTACAGCATTAACAACCTAAATATTAAGATCTGGTCCAATCACTTTCTTCTATAAATACTATACTATAAAGTTCATTTTGTAAACTAAACAACATCCAGTTATATTAATGCTCTCAAACAACTTGGTTAACAGTGAAGTAGAATTAGCCAATTAGTTGAATTTGTAATTATCTGGTCAATTATCTGATTATGTTCAAGTAATTGGTTATTTATCACAAGATGGCTGGAAAAAGTTTAGTTGGATAAGTAGAAATAACTGAACATAGTAATAATTGGAAAACCTCCATCAATTACTTGAGTCATAATAATTGAACAAACTTGAATTAATGAAAAATCATAATGGCAATATTTTGATTAGTGGATAGTTGGAATAATCAAAAACATTAAATGATTATTTTTGTGACATTAATTGATTTAATCATAATTTTGATTAGTCAGGTATTTTACATTACATTAATCTATGTAATCAGTGCTCATGGACATTAAATTACATCTATTAATTGCATTAACTGCCCAGCCCTAAAGTTAAGTATTAATGATAACACACATCTCGTCTAACAGTTAAATATTAATGATAACACACATCTCGTCTAACAGTTAAGTATTAACAATCTCATACACTAACAGTTAAATATCAACAATCTCATACACTAACAGTTAAGTATCAATAATCTCATACACTAACAGTTAAATATCAACAATCTCATACACTAACAGTTAAATATCAATAATCTCATACACTAACAGTTAAATATTAACAATCTTATACACTAACAGTTAAGTATTAATGATCTCATACATCTTGACTAAAAGTTAAGTATTAAGGATCTTATATATCTTGACTAAAAGTTAAGTATTAAGGATCTTATACATCTTGACTAACAGTTAAGGAAGGATGTCAACAGCAGTGTCCTTCAATGGTAATATCTCAAAGTTTATCTTGAATGAAAACGGTCAGTCACATGTGTAGAGCTAGTCGCTCTGGGTAAATGCAACATTCCTTGTAAATTAAATGAATCCTGAACTTGTCTGTCTGGTAGATATTTTCAGCTTAAACAGTTGAATACATAGGATCAGTATAAGGGATTGTCTCATGTAATTAAAAGCAAGTATACACATTGTTTTTGTTTTAATTCTGCTACAACAAAAACTGTTCGTGTTTCCCTTTGCATCCAGTCTCTTCATTTCATTCATTCTGACAACCAAGTTATTCAAAGAATTAGCATTAATCTGTAACAATTATATTGACTGAAATTCTTATTATTAAGTGGGCTTATTCATTACTCTAAGTTAATTCAGTTTACCTAGATAAACCACAGAGTAGATTGGAAAGAAAAAATGTTGGTGTTGTGACAATAGGATATTGTATTGCAGAGTTTGATGAAAAGTGTACTGACCTTTACTTGAACTCTTATTCTTTAAGTATAAAAAGGTTTCTTAGTTAAAGGAAATGACATTTTCCAAAACCAAAAGGAATTATGACCAAGAGGAAGATCCAGCTACAAACAAGAGATAGGTGTCTAAGATATTTTTCAGGTCCAGGAGAAGTCCTTTCCTGAATGCAGGACTTTTGCAGATGCCACGTACGTCAATAACCTGTATCTTGCTACAGCCAGTGACTCAGGAGGAAGAGCTGTCAGTGCACTTCCCCCAAGGATCTGCCTCAGTACGAGGGAAACATAGGTGACTGAACATTGCTTAGGTGGTGTGGCATCTATGAGTCTGAGATTGAGTGGAGCTGTTTGTATAGAACTCCCAGACATATACCAGTCAGCTTCAACCAGAAAGAGCTAACAGAGACTGGAGATGTCACTAGTGGATGAAATCTACCAACAGGAGCTATCTCACCAGAAGGTGAAAAGGCAGGTACCAAACTTCAAAGTAAATGGATCATAAGGCATTGGTGAATCTCCACAAACTGGGAGATATAACTGCCAAGATAGCCATAGATCAAAGATGAGCCTGGGGTTGAGCAGAGATAATGGACAAGCTGACAAGCATACCTTGTCGTTCTGCCATCCTAGAGAAGAGGCCTACTGCTAGTCAAAGTTTCAGGGGCCTGTGAACACCTGCAATGCTGTGTTTACAATGTTAAGGACATCTCAGTCAGATGATGGCCAGAAAATCACAAAGAAGAGCATCTGGTCATCCTCACAGTTCTCACAAGTAAAGTAAAGGGATCATTCCTCTGATATTCAAGGGTACATTAAAAGAAGTTATTTTTTTATGAGTGAAAGTATGATTTGCTCAAAATGTGTATGGATTGAATGAACAGCAAAATCCCTTATTAAATACCAACTAAACAATCCTGAAACTCAAATATATTACAATTCAGCATTATTTTACCAATTTTATTTCCTCTCCTTTACTAACTTGTTCATATTTTAAACAAAACTTTTGTTTGTTTAGACATGGGCAACATTATAAGTGTTGACTATCATAACTTTCACAGGCATATGAATCAGAAAAAGTGAATCATACGGTCAAATACATAAAAATGTTAAAACTAGTCTTTTATAAATGTTTTTAAGACATGTTCATTAATTACCTCACTGATATTGCCAAAACATTGCTATCTAAATTTGATAACAATACACATATCCAAAGTTATAGATAAGTCTAAAAAAAATCCTGTAAGTGACAGTGAACTTATAAAGGAGGTGTTTCAATGTTGACAAGCAAAAAACTGATTAATTTGAGATAAGAACATGGAAAAAGAGAGAAATAATTGTTCTGGGAAGGAATAAAAATTTGTAAGCATTGACAGTGAGAAAAGCCAGAAATCTATAATTTCAGGTTTAGCAATGGTGACAGAGTGAATATATATATACAACATTATAAAAATTTTAAGCTTAAAAGTAATAAAAAATGCTTTTTCATTGTTTTTTATGGCTTCTTGTTAAGACCACATTTGGAGTCTATGTTCAGTGAATTTGTTATTACAGGAAAGAAACTTTCCACTTCAGAAGGTTCAGATAAGGCAGCTGGTATAATAACTAGTTCGAGAAGATTGGGTAATGATGACATACTTAAGATCTTCAAATTATTCAGATTTTTTGTGCATTTATTATACAAATATATGCATACATATCAATTGATCAACCTGTTTTAATTTAATTCTGTAATCTAGATATGTAAGTTTATGAAGAAGACTATGTTGAGTTTTTTATACTGAGAAAAACATTGCCTGTAGCCAATTTTGTGAACTTTCTATAGTCAGTAGGTTATAAGTGTTTTATATAACTATATTTCAGTATGTACATGATCATAGGAAAGTAGCTTATACTTATTTTAATGACCAAATTAATAAATCATACCAATACAAATTCCAGTCTTCTTCTGGACCAACTGGAAACCATCCCTGCTTTTCAAAATTGGAAATCAAAACTGACCTATCTTGATCACAGCAATATGTGAACTGGTGATGATTCATTTCATCTACAAAATAAATATTTAATACACAGAATAAATTTTTTTTCACCCTTTTAACACACTGCCAGTTTCATATAAAATGTAATAGCAATAAGGATATTAATGTTGTTTAAGTTTCTGGTGTTTTTAATTGTTTATTAGTTACAAAGATTGAGAACAATTATTACATGGTTAACATAAATCTTACCACAATAAAACAAAATGCATTACTTGCTATGAACATTGAAACAATCAAATGATCATGCCAGCTTATATGTCAACATAAAAAATATGTCTAAGAAAATGATTACATAGAATCCCAAATCTGTAATCCATGGATTTATATAATCCATAATATAGCATTCAGATCCAAAACACACATTCTTCTAGTTACATTATTTAGAAATCTGGAACTGTAAGTCTATCTCAGTATCTGAATCTAAGGCTTCATATTGTCACTGGATCTAGCCTACCTGCCATTTT